TTGCCCTGAATTCCCAGTGAAGTGGTGTGTTGCTACTCGCGCTGCCTGGAGAGAGATTAGTAACACGCGCACCTCTGTTGTTGTCATGTTATTTGCAGAAGAGCAACTCCCCCTCCCAACCAGCAGCAAGTGTGAGATAGTAGCCTAATGTTTGCAGTTCTTTAAAAACAAGTAATAGGAAAGGTAGCACCCAGCTGAAACCGCTGTATTCTTTCTATTCACTTTAGGTTAAAATAAAGCAGTTATAATTTCAGTATAGCTGACTCAGCCTGGATTTGAATCCGGCATCTAAAGGCAAATTAAATTTCACCATCCACGTTAAGAAAGCAACTCAGCTTCTGAACTGAATCAGCTTTGATACCACGCTAAAGAATTTAGTTGAAATGTGGTATGATGAAAGACTCCTGTTCAGCACCAGATATAATTATCACACAGATCGTAATTAGATCGTGAACTTGACTTTAGGCTCCCCAGAGGGGTATTGAAAGCTTGGTCCAGTTACACTGAACTTGGTCCAGAACACTGAAGCTTATCCATCAAGATAAATATATTACTAGGTTCTTTGATATGACAGATGCTTGATGAGTGACAGAGCAAATGCCTTTTTAACTGTGATTTTAAAAAAGAATTATTAAGCTGCGCTAAAGTGTATGCTGTTATCTTTGGAGAGAAAAAAGGTATAATACATGAAAAACAATTATTACAGAGCACATAGAGCACAGTTTTTCAAGCGCTGTTTTCAGAATTAAAAACATTTGAACAAAGGTTCTCTTTATGGAGAGTCACTTTGTAACCAATTCAGGCCTTTAAATAGCTGTTTTTAAAAAAAAAAAAACTGTCGGCTACAGAAATTGTTTTTCCTTCAGATTCCAAATCCTGTCAGGCCAGGTTGATTAAAATGTTGCATTTAAAACCAACAAAAAAGGCAATTTAATCACCCCTTATAAAAGCGAAAACAGCAACTCAATTTTTAAAGCATCACGAACAAAAGGCTACAGCCCATCTATCATTCACATATGGATTCATGTAATGATTCTTCAATTAGAATTATTATCTATACAGCAGCTGAAGACTGAGAACTGCTGATACACTGCAGATGAGAACATTTGCTAGTCTCTGGGCTCCAGCCTTTCTTAAAAAATGATGATCGCACAATATAGATTGCTCGGTTTATACGTGTATTAAGCTGCAATGCCAGCATTTACATTTGCAACATTACAGTTTTGCTTTCTTAGGCTCAAGAGAATTTGCTGCATCTGGTAGATTTTATTTGGTTTGTATCTTAGGCAATCGTTAGGAACAAAGTGTGAATAGGCACTATTATTGCTCAAACAGTTCTTCGTTTTCTTTATTACCTCAGATACTACAAAAGAAGTAAACTGAGAGTGGGCTTGTGAGATGGGTCACTCCGTGTCAGTTTGCGTGCACTGTATTATCTCAGTGCTATTTTTATAAGGCACGTCCATCTGCTCCTTTATTTCTTCCACCTATATAGGTCCAGAGAGCATAAGATGTAGTATCAGAGGGAAAGAAAAGCATCTCACAGAACAGTTACAGGCACCATAAGGGAGGAAAGTCAGTTTGGTGATTCAGACCGCAGCAATTGTAGGGGTCCCTGCCTACCCATGCATCCCGCCCCGTTGCCAAAGGTTACTGTCTTCAGTAAGCAAGTATCCATAGAACATATGTTCCGCAGAAGCAGAATGGGAAACCTGCTAGCTCTACAGCCACTGCTTCTCATACCTGCAATGCTCAAACCCACCCCAGGTTCAGTATTTGTTAGTATACTGTATGAATTGCCGTAGCTGCCAAGCATACAGATCACTTTGCTACCTCTGCTACAGGGCAGGAACTTGGAACAAGAATGGTCACCTCCTCAACTTCTCTTCCTGAATCCTCAGCTCTTCTGGAATATTTCAAGTACTTGCCCGTTCCTATTTCATGGCTGGTAACCACATGTTGTGACCTAAAAGATGATGGAGATGGGTAGCTAAATAGTAGCTGTGAGATAGCCTTACTAAATGGGCATCTGTTCTTGCTGTTTTTACGAAGGATTCTTGCTGTGTGAACCACAAGCATGTTCTGAAGCCCAGGCAGCCTTCCTAGATGTCTCACTAGTAATGTGGATGCTGGAATTGGCTCTTGCAGATTTCTGAGGTATGTGGAAGCCTTTAGTGACATGTGCCTATGTAGAGGTTAGGAAAAGGGCTGCACAGTAAATTAAATTAAGAAGCTTCTTACTTCACTGGACAATGTTCGTAGAAGGCAAATCCTGTTAATGTATTTGTTTTACTCTGCATAGTTTGACAAACCTATGCCCAAGCTATTACCATCTTTTGCAGTACTACTTTTAGTGGGTGAGACCTGCTGTAGCCATGAAATCTCCCCATATCTGTTATACAAAGGAAATGAAAACTCTGATCATGGATGTATGTTCCAATATTATTTCACTACTTTATTATAGATATTAATGAATAGAGAATAAGTGATTTATACTCTTCCTTCAAAAATACTTTTTATCTACTGAATCTCCTAAATAACTGATTTTTCTCCATTTACTTGAAAGTGTATTGCCATTTGAATTACTTAAAATTTCATTAGATTTATAACGACATTGCACAGCACTTTCATCTCTAAAAAATTAACTGAAGACATTTGAGGGGACAAAGCAAGCAAAACTGAAAACTGGTACACGAGCTTACCAAAGTAACATAACACAAATATTTAGCTCAAGAGTTTATACATCATGATGGGGCACATTTCTCAAAATATTTTAAATTTCCAGATTTCAGGTGGCATCACTAAGATTTGAGAAGAGATGTAGTGACACACAACTTTAAAATGTGAGTGTGGTTTTTTTTTTTCCAATTAAAGCCACAATCTTAAAATGTTTTGGTTTGTTGTTTTTTGTTTGTTTGTTTTTTAAAAAAAGGTTTAAAAGGTCAAAATAAGAACAAACCACTCAATTCTTTCCTTGGATACTTGATTATAGAGATTTGTTGAAAGTTCCAGCTTTGATTTCAAACGGGGAACATTTCAAAGACAGCAAAAACACTACCTGAGAAAGCAGTTCAATTTGTAGTAGAAGTGAGTGAATTATTTGCAGCAGACAATTTATTACAAGAACATAAAAGGCAGAGTTTTCTTCCTGTTAGAAAAGGCAAATGCTGTTTTCTTTGTTCAGTTTTGGAACATTATTCATCAAATGTTTATTTTAGCTGCTACCACGCACCTCCCTAAACTCTCATAACAATAGTTCTAACACTCGCATTCTGTGACTAGTCATCTAAATTAATTATTTATACTCATTCAGACACAGCACAGCAATATCGAAAACCAGGAAGAAAGGTATCACTAAGGCCTTGTGGTTTCCACTGGCTGCTCCAATATACTGAGTACTGAGGCAGTGAGCCACGAAGCTTTGACTCCCAAGCTCGTCAAAGAGCGTTACTGCCTGGAAAAACAGAGGCATAGGATGCTCTCAATTAAAAAATGATTAAAAAAAAAAAGTGGGGGTGGGAAGAGAGAGAGAAAGAAAAGAAAAGAAATTTAAATCTCCTTTAGCCACAAGGACTCAGTGGTCAAGTTATATTACATTTCTCCTAGGACGTGTTTGTACAGCAAATAACAACTGTGACTGTAGTCCTGGTAGCCATACCTTTACAAGCTTTAATCAATCTAACCTGTAACTGTGGCAATAACAACGTAGAAGCAGCATGTCAATTTGAGCTTAAGATACAAGGGACCCTGCTAAGTGAGAGCACCTTAATGATGATTAGCATACGATTAACTTCCTCATATTAACATCATCTCTTGCATCAATTCATTTGAACACACTGGATAGACAATCCTTTCAAAAGCACAACTATTTTGATTAAGCAATTTACAGAGGGCTCATGTCTCAGATCCCACCAAACAGCGTAGCTAGAATATTTCCTGACATTTAGAACTCATTAATTGTGCTGTCCCAAGTATTACTACATTACAGACAAAGAAAATGTCTTGGAACATAAAGCTCACTTTGAACAGCAAATGACATAACAACTACATACAGTGTAGCAATTGCATTTAAGAATAATTAACTAAAACTTTTGCAACCTACAGCACTGTCACTCTAGTAATATGGAACCTCTGTTTCAGGAACAGACTCTGAATCTATTGGTTGCTTAATGAATTCAAATCAGCAACAGCACACAGACACAGAAGCAACAGTGCCAATGGCAAGAGGCACTTCAGAAATGGAAGGCTATGAATTTTAACAACAATGGACTAAAAATGCCAAAATACCCTCAGGTCTCACTAACTCTTGAAACTGCTACAGTAATCCCACAAGGCATTCCTCCTTTTCAGTGGGTCTCTGACCTGACTGCCCTATCAAAGAAAAGATGAAACAGAAAAAAAGAACAAAAAAGAAAAACAACAAAAAAAGACGACCGTACCTTTCCACTCCACAACCCCTTGCTTTCATTATTAAAATTCCTTTGGGTTGCTGAACTATGCAAATGTTTCCAAGAGCTGAGTACTGACAGGATATGAGGTATTCAAGGTTTTTCTTTGCCACTGAGGGCTGCTTTGTTTTAGACAGTTCTGAGAGGTGAGAACACCTGAAAACACTACTATTCCAACTCTGCCATTTCCTTATGCAGTATTAACACTGTATTTAGCAAGGGCTACCCCAACACATATATAAATATTCGAAAAGAAATGAAAAGTGGCAAGTATGCTGATGAGAAAGGACATATTTTGATAGCAGTGAAACATTCATTGCCGGATGGTCTATACGTAGGAAGGAATTCAATCACTGCCACAGAAAATTTTGTTAATCAAGAAAATGTGAATAAGCATTCTGTGATTTGTTGAACACCGGTCCAAATAGTCACCCACAGACTGAAAGGCCAGTTCAAGGTTTTTATGAATGTAAAGCTTTACTTTGGCAGATATTAACTGCATTTATGTGCTGCAAAAAAAATTGTGTCTGGCCCTCTGACTTGGAGAGAATATCACCTACTTTCTTTAAAGCTGAATTTCACGCAAGTATTTTTTTGTATTCTCACCCAAGTGTTTTTTCAGATCAGGAATAAATTTTCTCCTCTGCAGATTCACAATGCTAACCCAATACAAACCTGACATATGTCAAACAAAAGCATATCTTCCCGTGTTACTAAATCTGTATCTTCTGGTCTTCAAGTTGTTCTGTGCCTATATTAGAATTACTTATCTCATTTACACTTTTTTCTTTCTTTGATTCTTTTCTAGAAGTCTTCAAACACTTGTCGAGTCTTTTTAGGAATACATCTACATCTTGCTTTTTAATTCCAATTGCTGAGGCAGCATTGAGATAAGCACAGGGATAGTCATTTGAATGTGACATAAAGCCTTTAAAAGTGTAGTTATTCACTGTTTGTACAGACCCACAGGGAACAACCCTGAAACAAACAAACAAAATTGTGATTCAGTTAAAGATGCCGTAAATATTTTATGTGTTACCCTATGATGAACATGTTTATACAAGTTTCTAGACACTGTAATATCTGCTAACTCTAATCAAATTAATGTAAGCAAGCTTAGATCAGGCACTCTCCAAGTTAGTGCCCAAGCATCACTGTGAGTGCCAGGAGGAGCAGATCCTGAATTAGTTTGAGTCTGTGTGCATATGTATACGTCCCTTCCCCTATTCAGTTAAATTATTAAGGTCTTCATTACTGGTATTTATGAGGTCCTGGGTGGGGGGGGGGGGGCTCTAATCAAATTAATGTAAGCAAGCTTAGATCAGGCACTCTCCAAGTTAGTGCCCAAGCATCACTGTGAGTGCCAGGAGGAGCAGATCCTGAATTAGTTTGAGTCTGTGTGCATATGTATACGTCCCTTCCCCTATTCAGTTAAATTATTAAGGTCTTCATTACTGGTATTTATGAGGTCCTGGGTGGGGGGGGGGGGGGGGGGGAGGGGGGGGGGGGGGTGGGGGAGAAGGCATCTGCAGTAAACTTTCCTATTCCATAACAAGCCCTGACTACCTGACCTGCTCTGTCCACCCTCCTTAGGGAATGTGGTGACCCTGAGCTCTCCGGCATCACTGTGTTGACAGCAGCCTTAGTGCAGACATTTGCTTGGCATAGTGTACTGCAGTCCAAATCGTCTGGGTTCAAGTGATTCAGAGGGCTCACGATCCCAAATTCCTCCTACCCATTCCTCTCTACTGCATCTCCCTTTCCCCCCATCCTATGACGTTAACCTCATATTCATTCCCTCCTTGTAGTGGATAATTTTTTGCCATCATTTTTACCTCTTCCTAATACTAAAACCCTCTACCTATTACATCCTATTTCTCAGCACTTTCAGTAGATACCCATTCCCTGATAAATCAAGACCCTAATCCACATCCTTACTTGTTAAAGAAAGAACTCGCCTTGTGGCTATAGTTAAAGCCTACACAAGCAGTTAACGCCAATCAGTTGATAAGAATTTACTACCTCTATAGAGACTTTCCCTGCAGTTCATAAAAGAAACTGTGTTCAGACAAATACCAGTAGGATTAGCAGATCTTTCCTCTGCCCAAGTGAGCAGACTACAGGTTATGCAAAAGCCTGTACGCTAGTGAAGTAGGGAGTTGCTATTCCTCCTATTGACATTCAGCACAACCGTAACATTTAAAATTTGTTGAAATGCCAGGTCAAACAGTGTATATGCTACAAAATAATTACTTGCTTATGTAAAAACAGGAAAAACCTGAAACTTTTGTATCAGGCAAAGAATTGGAGAGTTTTAACTTCAAAAATTGAACCTTTTGAACCATTTCAGCCAAAGATGGCTGAAATTGCAGGACAAGCCAAGGTTAGGGCAGGCAAATTAAAAAGAGCATCTAACTACAGTACATATAGATTTACTGTCATTCATCTGTGCAGGAAGTGGAATAATCCAAGCTAATGAAGCATGTCTTCTGATGTGGAAACATTCAGCTCTGCTACAAAAAAATGACATTAAGTCTATGGCAGAAGTTAGCATGGCAGCAGTAATATTCAGATTAAGGAATCCTGCCAAAACAAATTTTAAATCATTCTCTTCTTCTAAAAGGTTTAAACCAAACCCATTAAAAATTATTTGGCTTGGATTTTCACATACCAGTGTCTCTAGGAATAAATTTAGCTCAGACTGGCTTAGGTTGTAGATCTAAAAAAATTATTATTTTTTTTTTTTTTAAACACCATTTGTTCCAGAAAGCAAGATTTTCTTCCATATGACAAAAAGCTATGTAGGGTATTAAAAGCTAATTCCCCTGACATCCAGCACAACCATATTTGTGCTGCAATAAACAAAACAAAGATCTTACCTAAGTAGCTTACAACTTAACCATAAGATCAGGCAACAGCTGGAAACTAAATGAAACCAAGGGGTACTAGAGAATAATGACACTAAATTAAATAGGCATAGATTATCTATTTAGCCTACCCAAGCTAACAAATGGGGCCTCATTGCTAACTCAGGCAAGCAGACATTATTAGTAGATAACAGTGAAAAAGAAGGCTGTATTATTCTCTGACTCGTTATTGTCAGACTGTAATATGTAATCATGAGAAAACTAGTACAAAACAGGGTTTCATAAAATGTATGCTAATACAACCCCCCAAATTTTTCAAATTCGTAGCATCCTCACCTTGCTCCAGAAACTTGTCTTGTGAAAAGCATAGATCCAAGCTGGGTAACAGCAGCATCATTATTTTCATCTAGATTCTGCAGTGACATGGCTGAAATAACAAAAGGTCAGGTTAAAACTACTACAAAGCAGTTTTTTCTCCAAAAAAGAACAACAGAGGACAAGCTGCTGTCCAGCAATAAAAATCTAGCCAAATATTTGTGTTCAGATACAAGGAAAAAAAAAAAAAGAAATACGAACACTACATTTCATAATTTGTAATTTTCCCACGATCTGTCATATATTACTTCTTTGTATGTAAGGCAGATTCTGCAAAGGCAGGTAATATTACTTTGGTGTTCAGCAGATTTTTTGGCTAGAACAAATACCTTGAGTAAGAATCCCATGATCTCTTTTACAGCACTATAAGATGATGGGTAAAATAATTATACCCTAATTTTTAAATCTACTTATTTATAAAGTATTACTACATGCTAACATGTTTCTGCCCGCCTTGATTACAATAAATGTATGTTGGACACAAGCGATTTTGTAAAACTAATAAAGGGCCCAAGTCACTACTCTTATAGTAGGTTATCTTATTGGGTTCAATGGTTTCATATCAGCCCCAGAACAATTTAATGGAATGCAGTGAACAATGTTTAATATATAGGAACTGTATGTGAAAGTGCATTATGAATGCACAGTATATTGGATTTTTTTTTAAAAAAAGATAAAAAAACCCCAACAATTACCTAAGGAAATGGGATTATGTGGTGTGTCTAACAGTCTCTCATTGTGGCTATCCGCCAGCTTCTTCAGCTCACTTGAAAGATAGGAAAACATCTCCTGGAAAAAAGCATGCAATATTTTTGTTATTAGCTATCAAACAGAGAAAATAGTACCTATTTCACAAAACCGTTAAGTCTCCATTATATCCTACAGGTGTCCAGCTCTTTTCATGCGTACCAAGTAAGCGGACCAGACAATTCTCTGAAATCATTCTATAAAGGAACAGCTCCTGAACACTGTTCTTTCCCCTCAAGCTGGTACAAAGCTATCTGGTCTAATATATATGCTTGGGATGTCAGTCAAACTCTGTGGCTCTAAAACGTAGGGAGGTAAAATCCTGAAGAGATTCCCACTGCCCAGCAGGCCCTACCCCAGCCCACTCCTGCGAGAGCTTCCCCCCACCCTAGCCCCTCGCGCCACAGAGAACGAGCAGTCACCATTGCAGATGGCCATGTTACGGCAAATTGCTCCTTACTTTGTCTTCTCTCTATTAATACATTCCAGAATAAAAGTAGTGCATTTTGTTACCATGTAGCACACAGTCCCAATTACCCCTGGTGCACAGACCTTTTTTTCCTTATGAGAAAGGCAATACAGTCTCTTAAGGAGAAGGCTGTAAGTACTCATTTGAATGCATTTTGTTTCACTTAATATATGCCCTCCTGAAAACTCAGCTCTATTGCATACCCAGGCCTCTTCCTGGGACCGACCCCTCCTGTTCAAGCCTATTAAAAGAAAGGAGATATCTGAATTTCTGCTATCACTTAATTAGATTGTACCTTTATTGTGAAAGTGCCATAAAGCTGAGATTCATAAATGTTTTGGCTCAGATTCAAGTCACACTGCACACAAGAGTCTGCTTTTCTTACTTCATCCCTATTTTATTTCCTCCCTCTTCCCCAGTAGAGATGTACAATAATTACTCTTTGTTTCCCTCAATTTAATATCTTCCTCTTCACATATCAGCTCAAAACACTTACGGACAGAGTGAGAATAAACACCATTTTTCTTATTGTGTCCTTTGGATTCTTTTCCATCCCTTTTAATCATAGAATGGTTTAGGTTGGAAGGGACCTGGAAGATCAAGTTCCAACCCCCCTGCCATGGGCAGGGACACCTCCCACTAGACCAGGTTGCTCATAACCCCATCCAACCTGGCCTTGAACGCTTCCAGGGTTAAACACCTCCTAATCCTTAGTATCTCATAAAAACTAGCAAAAAGATACAGATACTGGGTAGTCTTTCTACAAGATACTAAACACCAGATTTTTTTCCTCTTTCTGGTCATAAAGATTGTGCTGCTCATCTGCTTCAGTGTGACTGCCTGTTTCAGCATCCTCATCAATTTCTGGACCTGACAAGTGATTTTTCATTCTTTAAATAGAGTTGCCTCTTCTGTTTGTAGACCAGTGTCCTGTTCTGACCTGTGCACTCCGACAGATACAAATTATAACTCGTGATCAAAATTATGTTTTGGAGCAGAATCTCCCAAAGGTCTTATGAAACCAAATGAGCTGTACGGTAGCTAAGTTAGAATGTTACAGCTGCTTTTCTTGAGCCATTGCCACTGCTCGTCCTAATACCATAGAATGAATTCAGCCAGAGAGGAAAACTACCATGTTACTATCTAAATGAATTAGGTGATTGATTCAACTATCAACAAGAGCATAAAGCTTCTGTAACAGAACAACAACAACAAAAATTTTGGGAGGCATCTATTAATTATCAGAACTTGAAACCTGTGGAAAATCACTCTTATTTTTCAGACGCATTTGTAAATCAAGTGATTTTATCCATCAGTTTATTTACAGTTCACTTGCAGAAGTTGAAAAACATTTACGTTTAAAATGTTCAGAGATTTTTGCCTTCTTTCTGGTCCCTCACTGAATATAAACATGTTACTCATTTATTATTTGCTTTCCACAATAAGCATCAACAACGTGTTAGCCATTTTATTAGTATTTCTTTGGAATCCAAATCAATTAATTTGTGCTCCCTCTGCTGGCTATTTATTTCTACAACTGAAGCAAAATATTACAGAAATATACCTAAATTGCCTCTACTATGGAGATATTATTAGTAAAATTAGTACTGAGAAAAAACGGTACTGGAAGAGGAACAAATTCCCAAATAATTAACTTGTGTGTGTTGTACCTAGGGAATTCTCTATTGTATCTCTTCCAGTATTCATTATTGAAAGGACTACAAGTTGGTGTAACCAGTTACCCACTGTATAAATGTATTAAATTAAATTAAGATTAAATGCCTAGGTTACTAGATGAGCCTTTACATACATAGGAATTTGTTAAAACAAGGGAGAATGTAAACATGACCAAAAAAAATAAAATCCAAGCACGTATGTTCATCAATTTGACTGAAGCTATCTGAACACAAATTCAAAACTTTTTTTTATGAACGGCACTATTTTGCATCTTTCCATTGGAAGCCCTCTAGATATTTTATAGTTTCAGCAGTTAAGCAGTTTGTTGCAAACTAGTTTAACGGCCTTTCCAAAAAAAGGAAAAAAGCAATATTTTCATGAGGTCAAATCTATAACCAACCTCTATTATAAAATACTTCTATTATGCAGAAAATTTATAAGCACCCTAAGCAATTATATACAAATGAGCTCTTACATAATTGATTTTCTGTGGTAGGCACTCAAGGTTTCTCCAATGAAGCTAACTATTATGCTAAACTTGCACTGAACAACCCAAGCACTAAATGTCAGTTAAGTTTCATTATTTAATTCACTCTTACCTCTTAGAGACTTATCCCAAACCTTACTAGGCTAGAGAAATGAATGCTAAGCTATGTGAAAACATCTACTTCCACATACATATACAAAAATATTTTCAAGAATTTTTGTAACAATTTAAAAAAAATATATTTGAATCACACTCTATTTACATTATAAACCTATTTTTTAATAGAACCTACACTAATATGGGTGACTTTTCATTTGTTGCTCCATTGTCATACGCACTGTTTTTCTTCCAAATGAAAATAACTAGAGGGAAACAAGTAAGGAAAAAGCCAGCAACTCCAGAGAAAAAGCAGAAGATGGGGGTACTAAATATGCCATTAGCCCCATATCAGGTGACAGAGAGACAACTGATGAAAACTTTTTGTGCGTGGCTGAAAACTATCCTAACTGGTTCTAACCCCCCAGCTTGGTTATGCTCCCAGTCTGTAACACTGCCTTCCTCCCTGTTTCACTCCCACCTGAAAAGATGAGCTGTCTTCAGACAACAGCCATATAGCAGTTTATGGTGCTGCAGAAGACACCGCAAAAGAGTGATTTTACAATGGTTTTGCACTAGATACAGACTGCCAACTCTCATATGCTGTACCTGAGACTGACCCGCTCCCACTTTCAATTACTTTGCAGCAGCAGCTGTTTATAATGTCACCATCACAGCTTCTGTTCTGCTTTGAGTGTTAGGCTGCCCCGCTGTGTCTGACCCGTGATCTGATCAGCCCCCTTGGCACACCGTTGCACGCAGACAAGGACAGGCTGCGGTGCTGAGCGCAGAGACCTGTTGGTGCGTGCCCCAGAGAGCCCCAGCAGAAGGCTTACTTTCTTGAAATGCAGCCAAATACATGACAGAAACTGTACATGTACAATACCTACATATACCACTTACCCCCATATATAGATTCTCTTGCATTGCAAGATCAAGAATTGCGTTCTGAATTTACAATCTAATGGAAAATTTTAAAAATATGAAATTAATTACAGAACCTTTAAATCTTTATAGCATATAAAAGTAATCTAACAAACCGCCCAGGAGGTCTTGCCAACTTGACATGGTAACATTAATGCTGACAATCACCACACGTATTTTTTTTTTTTTAAGGTCTTTGTTAATAACATGGATTAACACATTTTCTCTTCAGCACTTCCAAGACCTTAAGATGAGGCTCCTTGTGGGCCATACTTCTCCAATACATGCTTTGAGTACACAGGCCTTCCATTCATACTTGGCACTTGTCTAACTACACAACACCATTTAAGATAACAATTACATTAAATTAAACTACGTTGCTTCCCTCCACTCTAAAATTTGAGTATTGTTCCACATATTTCACATGAGGAAAAACCTGCAATAGCCCCACATTTGACAAACTACAGTGTAGGAAACTGACTAGACCAAAAAAATAAAAGAGAGTAACATGTCTGTCTTCTTGTAAGAATACTTGATTTTTTACATTTTCAATATCCAGCATTAAATGGGTTTTCTCTTATTCTTAAATTCAGTCGTAAGTAGAGCAGCAATATAAACTCACACTGAACTGTACAAATAATTTATTCCTATCAGAATAATTACATCAATGATAAACCATGACATGTAAGCCCAGTATTTTACTGAATTGTAAAAACCAAACAATTTCCTCGCATTCGGTGTGATTTTAAGTATTTTAGATACATGCTCCATAAGGACATAAAAATTACTCCAGTTAATTACTCTTAAAAAGTATACAGACAGACGGATACAGATATAAAAAGCTCCATCACATCCCAAGTAAATCAGAATTATCTTGAACATTAGATTGTTAAGGAAAGTCTAATGAGTAAATTTGTAACTCCTGAAAACAAAATGAAGCCATCACCTCTTCAATAATACCAGTGTAATAATTAGTTAAATGGATTAAATGGACTACATTGGAAAATAGTTAACAGGTATTAAACCTGGTATGTAGGCTCCTGAATGTAAACCTCGAATGTAAACCTCTCCATCAATTCTGAGTTGACAATTGAAGTCTACTGTTTATGCTGTTACACAGTGTAACCACTATATTTGCTGCATGGGGCCTGGTTCAGACACACAAATACATACATGAAAACAGAGAGTTTTAAAACCTGGCAATGCAGAATACGGGACACAACATAACCTGTACTGAGGAAATCATAGGAGTTGCTACAAAAGCATAACCTTTACATATTATGAATTCTTTAAGAGCAAAGATAGTAACAAATTTCACTATGGATCAGCTGTCATTACCTGCATTACAAAAGGACCTAGAAGCTCCTACTGATACCAGAAAACCACTGTTCTAAACACCACATGAAAATTTAGAACAAGTGAGTAAACGTTACTGTTGGTAGTCTTTTTCCATCCTTTCTCTGGAAACATCAAGGCTAAATATGACTATTGAAAAGATTCTTTATTAAGCTTTCATATATGGCCACCTTTATTCAGACACTTGGACAGCACGTGTGTGTTACTCCCTTGCTCTTCTGTCCTCAGATCGATCGCACCATTTTAGTCCCTCATATCATAACATATAATCTCATGCTTTTGCACAATTGCACACTCCACAACTGCCAGCTTGTCAGAAAATCCCACTCCATGGACGTGTTCCTCTCCCTCATATAATCCCTCCCCTTCCTATATTGAATGGATCATCCGTGTAAAAGAAAAACTGGGCAGACTATTTCTTTCCTTGGTTGTGCAAGATTAATCTCTTCTCAGTAATACTGCGGTCTTTCCGGCTTGATCTCAAATAACCTGAAGTAACACCCATGTGAATAAGGAAAAAAGAGAAAGAAAAAAAAAAATACTTGAAGTTTTTTATAGCTGACTTTTTGTGTGAGTAGGTGTAGCTGCACTGATATAGAAAGGAGTACTCAATGTCAAGCTATAAATAGCTCCTTCTGGGAGCCTAATAGCTCTGCCTCTGCTTTCACAGAGCACAGGCAATAAACTATCACTCTTACATTTTTACAATTCAGGAACAAACAAATTTAAGCAAAAACAGGTTTCTATTTCTACAGCAAATCCAATAAAAGAAACATATTTATGCCATATATAAGGCTGCATTTATAGAGTAAACTCACATTTGAAATAAAAGACCTGAAGTTGTAAAAATATAATGCGTTATTCACTGTAAAATTCTACTTCCAAGAAAGTGACATGATTCAAGATATATAGCTATTCATTAAGACATTTTTTTTTATGAAAGAATTATTATTTATGACTTGGAGAATATTTATACTGTCCATTATGTATCTGCTACCAGTGTAAATCTAACATCAAAATCAGCTTTGCAGAAGACACAATAAATTCACTTGAGATTCTTTTGGAGATGAGAGTGAAGGGGGAAAAAGTACAATTTGCTTTTAATGAAGACACAAACCATACATGGCACTACATACAACAATTCAGAAAAAAAATGTTAGAAACTGTATTGCAATAGTAGCAAAAGTGGTAACTGCTTTCAGTGTTTCATAAGCCTTGTTTTCACTTTAGTTGCACAGATCAGTTCTTAGTTGTTGTATGGCCACCAAGCTGGTTTGGTTTTCTATAGTCTAGTTATTCCTATGGGAACTCATTTCCAGTGCAGAATTTCTGGATGCCTCTACAAGCAGCTAGAAACAAGTCACAGCATCCAGCACTATTGCCCTGCCAGGTAATCAGA